AACCGCATCTTTCCTGAAAGGTAAAGGTCAGTCATATGCAATGCATGATATGGATCAAGCAATGATGTTCTCAACATAAATGAGATTGTATGGTATGATGCGTATATGTATGTATCATGATGTATGGAAATGTGATGTTTTAGTTGGGGAAAATAAATCCCGAACGGCTGGTGGAGAGTAGGGTTGAATTCTTCGTTTCCACTGGGGATGATGAACGAAGATGATTGCAAGAATAAACCTGCAGGAGAGGATGACTCCGTTGGGGAATAAACTGGTGAAGAGATTACTCTGCGGGGAATTACTCTGTGGGGAAGAGATACTTTGCTGAGATTTTAATGATAAACTTCACTGGGGATTCCGTTGATAAGCTCTGTTGGGGATTTTGATGAACTCTGCTGGGGATAGAAAGAACTTCGCTGGGGATGATATTTCAGTTGCAACTTGCTGAGGATAACTTGGTTAGACTCTTGTGAGGATAACCTCTGAATTTGGCTGGGGAGATACATTTATATTCTGCAGGGGACAAGCTTCCAGAATCTACTGGGTAAGATGATTTGACTCTGGCGGGGAAGCTTTTTTAGACTGCGTTGGGGCAATGACTCCATTGTGGTATCTTGTATTCCGCCGGGAAACATTCTTATATTTTGTTGAGGAATATTAAGACTGTCGGGGATGCTCTTACGCTTGCTGGAGAATATCTTTATACTCCGCTGGGGAATACTAAGATCTTCTAGGGATACCAAGCCTTTTCGGGGCTGACGGTAGACTAACTCTGCTTGGGGGAGAGTATGGTTGATTCGTTCATGATTGCGAGTTTCAGTGGGGGAGAGCTACCATTACTGTTTTACTCTGCGGGAAGTGAAAGTATCTTAGCCATATTCTTCAGCTGAATATATACCTTGGTACCTGGTGGACAGAGCAACTAGACCGCTCAGACAATTCTTATTGCCCCTACTTCTGATATCACCCGTAATTTGTCCTTTGTTTCGCATGTAAATATTTATGAGCAACAATTAATGTCAGATGCATATATCAAAAATGAACATTGGACGTTCTTTGTAAAACAAAACAGATAAAGGAAAAACAGTTTGAAATTTGTCTGAAAATGAATTTGTATTGATTTTTAAGTTTGGCCTGTAAATAGGCGTTTTGTACAAGAGGCTGACATCCTAGTAAGAGAACGTCGCCGAACAAATAGAATTTATACAATTTGTGAAAAGAAAACAAAACAGCTATGTGAATAGTCCCACTGGGTTCCAGCTCTGCTATTGCCTTTATATCTTCAAGCATCTCATCACTTTGCTGCTTAGTTGAAGATGAATCTGATTGACTGGTGTCGTCCGAGCCTGATAGTTGATACCGAAGTCCGGATGCAAGGTGATCTAATGAGACATAGCGTTACGCTTTAATCCCTAACTTTTGCCTGGACCGCCCTTTCGGGTTTTCAGTCCACCGGGATACCCATTTTTTCCCAAGCCGCCTTTTCAGGTTTTCGACTTGCCGGGTGTACAGATTCTTTATATTTTCATCCCTTATTTTTGCCCGAACCCTTTTGGTTCGCCGGGAAGCCCTTATTTTTGCCTAGGCCAGTCAACCTAGCGGGTCTTTGATTATGCGTAGTATCTTTTTACTATGTCTGCATTGACGGGGTGAGGAAGGTCGTCACCATCCATGGTGGTTAGAATCATCGCTCCTCTTGAGAAGATGTTCTTAACCACAAATGGCCCTTCGTAAGTAGGGGTCCATTTGCCCCTGGGATCACCTTGAGGTAGAATAATGCGCTTGATTACCAGGTCCCCGACTTGATACTCTCGTCGTCTGACTTTCTTGTTAAATGCCTTGATCATTCGTTTTTGGTACGTCTGACCATGACAAATAGCAGTAAGTCTCTTTTTGTCGATTAGATTAAATTGATCAATTCGGGTCTGGATCGAGTCGTCTTCGCTCAAACCTGCATCCTTCATGATCCGAAGAGAGGGTATCTGAACTTCAATGGGCAAGACTGCCTCCATGCCATAAACCAAGGAATAGGGTGTATCCCCTGTTGACGTCCGTGCTGAGGTACGGTACCCATGAAGAGCAAATGGTAACATCTCGTGCCAGTCTTTGTATGTCACTGTCATCTTCTGCACAATCTTCTTAATGTTCTTATTTGCTGCTTCGACAGCCCCATTCATCTTCGGCCGGTAGGGAGAAGAGTTGTGGTGCTGTATCTTGAATTGCTCGCAGAGCTCAGTGATCATTTTGTTATTAAGATTGGTACCATTGTCCGTAATGATCCTCTCTGGTACACCATATCGACAGATCAGGTTGTGCCGAATGAACCGTGCCACGACGTTCTTGGTTACCGTAGCAAAGGAAGCTGCTTCAACCCACTTCGTAAAGTAATCAATCGCTACCAGGATGAAACAATGCCCGTTGGATGCCGTAGGTCTGATCTCGCCGATCATATCAATGCCCCACATTGCAAAAGGCCAAGGTGCTATCAAAACATTTAGAGGAACTGGAGGAATATGCACCTTATCAGCATAGACCTGGCACTTGTGACATGTCCGAGAATGCTGATAACAGTCGGCTTCCATTGTGGACCAATAATATCCTGCCCGAAGGATTTTCTTTGCCATGGTATGTCTACTGGAATGAGTTCCGAAAGTACCTTCATCCAGCTTTGCCATGATCCTTTCTGCTTCAATTTTATCCATGTAACGCAGTAAGGTTGAATCACGGTTACGTTTGTAAAGAATGCCATTGCTGATGAAGAACTTTGCCGCGAACCTTCTCAGAAACTTCTTGTCATTAACAGATGCACCCTCGGGGTATTCTTGAGTTTCAAGGTACCTCTTCACTTCATGATACCAAGGCTTTTCTGTTACCTCTTCGGTCTCAAGATCACAGCAATGCACAAGTTCATCCAATTTCCAAATAATGATCCAGGGAGCCTCGTTGTCCCACTTGACTTTGAACATAGAAGACATCGTAGCTAGCGCGTCTGCCAACTGATTCTCCTCTCTTGGGAAGTGTTCAAAGGTTATCTCCTCGAAATGGGGAAGCAACGTCAATACATACTCCTTGTAAGGAATAAGATTTGGGTGTTTCGTATCCCACTCTCCTTTGATCTGACTGATCACGAGAGCGGAATCTCCAAAGACACTCAGAAACTTAATCCTTAGGTCAATTTCAGCTCGAAGACCCATAATGCAGGCTTCATACTCTGCCATATTGTTGGTGCAGTTGAAACATAGTCGGGTGGTAAACGGAGTATGAGAGCCTTTAGGAGATATGATCACAGCGCCAATGCCATTACCCAAAGCGTTTGAAGCTCCATCAAAGTACATAGACCATCGAGATCCTTCCTCAGGTCCTTCATCCGGTCCAGGTGTCTCACAATCAGTCACTACCATGATATTCTCGTCTGGAAATTCAAAGTTCATAGACTGGTAATCATCCACTGCCTGATGTGCCAAATGGTCTGCCAACACACTTCCCTTGATCTCTTTTTGAGTCGTGTACTGGATGTCATATTCAGTCAAGATCATTTGCCATCTTGCTATTCTTCCGGACAAGGCAGGCTTTTCGAAGATATACTTGATTGGATCCATCTTTGAAATCAAAAGAGTAGTGTGAGTCAACATATACTGTCTCAGCCAGCAAGCAGCCCATGCCAAAGCGCAACAAGTTTTCTCGAGCAGTGAGTATCGGGTCTCACAGTCGGTAAACTTTTTGCTAAGGTAATAAATGGTATGCTCTTTTCGGCCAGACTCGTCATGCTGCCCCAGCACACACCCTATTGAGTTATCGAGCACTGTTAAGTATAAAATCAAAGGTCTCCCTTCAACTGGTGGCATAAGAATAGGTGGCTCCTGGAGGTACTCTTTGATTCTTTCGAAAGCAGCCTGACATTCATCATTCCAACATACCACTTGATCTTTCTTCAGTAACTTGATGATTGGCTCACAAGTAGCAGTTAGGTGCAAGATGAATCGGGCAATATAGTTCAGTCGTCCTAGAAAGCCTCTGACCTCCTTCTCTGTCTTGGGAGCTGGCATCTCTTGTATGGCTTTCACTTTGGCAGGGTCCACTTGAATACCTTTGTCGCTTACAACAAAACCCATCAGCTTACCGGACCGTACCCCGAAGGTGCCACTACGCCAAAAATGATTTTTTGTATCACCTAATTTAATAGCACTTTTAAAAAAAATGCTATTAAAATGGAAAAAACACATTTATAATAGCACTTTTTAATCGGGCGCTATTATATAATATAGACTAGGTAATTATGATAGCACTTTGTACCAGAACGCTATTATTAAACTTCTTTAAGATAGCACTTTGTATAAAACGCTATTATTTGACTACCTATATAATAGCATTTATTAAAAAGCGCTATCTTATATATAATAATGAATTAATTAATTAATTAATTAATTAATTGATAAAAAAAAAAAAAAGTTATTTCCATTAGAAACTGAAACAAAATAAAAAAACGCAGGAAGGAGATTCCAAATCCATTACCTCCGACGACACGCCGGCGACCGCGACGACAACTCAACTGCTTCTACAAGCACAATATCGACGCACTCCGGCCCCCTGTAGCTCACCGGCAGCCACCACTGGGCGTTCGACTCCGACCTCCATCTCCAGCCACTCTCGGTTTTGCTTGCAGGTAAGCAATTTTTCCCCTCTATTTTCTCGATTTGTTGTGATTGTTGTTGGAGAACTTAAATGCTTGATTTGAATCTTGGATTTCTATTTTGTTGTTGTTCTTATTTTAAGAGAAAGATTGATTTTGTTTTGGGGTTGAAATGGATGAGAGATAGAAAAAACCATGGTTATTGTTCTGCAAGTTGTGGTCTTTTGTGAGAGAGAGTAAGAAGAAGAAGTATCACTGTCTAGAAAGAAAAGAGAGAACTAACATTTCTCTCTCAAGATGTGTGCATTATAATTTGTTAAGTAGGTGACCAAACCTTACCACCACCACAGAGTAAAAACCTACCAAAGCATCAAGGTGACCAAAAGTTACCACCACCACAGAGTAAAAACCTACCAGATTCAATTCTACTTCTTAGCATCACCCTGTCAATCAACAAGCTCTCAGCTGATGATTGGAAACTATAGTCACACATGTCACCATAACTTGATCTCATACTTGGCAACTTTGAAACACTTTTTTCAAACTTTTTTATGTATTGTTGGATATCTTGTTGAGCTGTAGTGCCTTCAGATGGTTTCTGTGCAAAGGAGAAGCAGTGTTTAGAGTCAGTTTCTTTGCTATCAGCAGTTGAGCTGACTTGTTCATGGATAGCTTCCTCGGAATCAATGCTGGCTGGTGGCTGCATTGTGTCATAATGGATATGGTGTGATTGTTCTCGAGTGCCGGATTGCTGCAAAAATGTAAAACATATAGATTATGCAAGAAAAGAATAAAAAGATGCACTTGTTAAGTAGAAAGTAAATTACTGACGAAATTTGAAGGCGGAGTATTTGAACTTGCCTCGGTTAAACGAGATGGAGTAGGTGGACCAACCATACTGAGCGGAGGATCCTCTTGAGATGAAAAGTCTGAACTATCGAATGTTGATAGTGATACACACTCGTCAAAATAAGCCTTGGCATCTTCTGCAAGACGTTTCGACATCCTTTTTCTTTCAATGCTAGACTGTAACCGTGTTTTGGATTCATCAATAATGGGATAGAAACATCTAATGTAACATGTGGAGTAAATATAATGTGAAAGGAACCTACTTTTCTTGATGGACGAGACTTTGGTATATTAGGAGTCTTGGGATATGGAAGAACTTCTCTCAAGATTCTATCCAGTTCTCTCACTCGATGTTCTTCAACTGCCAGATCTGCTCTAAGACGTCTAGCTCGCTCTTTGGCCTGTAAATATGACAAGTTCTGCTCAATATAAAAGAACGAGACGTTAACCATACTTCATCTTCAAGTATAAATGGGAATACTACCTCTTCAAGCTTTTTGGTATACTCTCTTCTAGTCTCCAATGCTAATTGTATTGTACCAGGGCTTAGCAAGTCAGGATGAATATCAGCCATATCGGTGACAGTAACGGCTGTAGCGTTACTCACTTGAATAGCCTAAAATTCCCGAAACTTCAATAGGCTATTCAAGGTCAATCTTGAATAGCATAGGATGAATCACAGTTAGTTATATCAATAGGCAGTTAACTTCAAGCTGGCAAGGAGAAAGTTATAGTCTCATGAAACTTACACTTTCGAGGTCAATCTGAATCTCAGAAATAGTGAAGGAGACATGTTGACTATCTCTCAACAAAACAGTAGGGGTGATATTAGACTTACAAAAGCACCATAAGTTAGGCAAAAGATCATGCGTATAATTCATGGCAAATAGCTTAAGGTTGAGCTTCTTAAGCCAAGTTTGAAGGAATTTAGAAAAGTCCATCCAAGGTTCTGCTACCAAAACCAAGTCTAGATTGTTAACAGAAATTAATCTTTTGAGAGCAAGTCTGGAAGAGGCATTTGCAATTCCTCTAATATTCCAGAATATGCACTTCATGAGAAAGGATTAGATGTACTAGGTTTATCCCTAGTTAATTCCAGGGATTCGTTTTAGCAAGCTCTTTGCTTCATTTGCTAATTCAACGGCTTGGTTGAATATAACATCAGGGCTTTCACTAAGTTGAGCTCTAGCAGCATCTAGGGATGCCAAAAGTAGGAAACTAGGACTTGTAGGTTGGAGAGTTTGGAGACACCTAGATATTTTGTCCTTATCTACGATGTCCCCGGACACGTGCAGCATAGATGACTGACTAAGAGAGGAAAGAACCTTGTGAGTAGATTGTACAGCTAGATCAGCACCTTGCTGGAGGGCTGACCTAGGCAGTTCAGAATTAAATCCAAGATGTGCACCATGAGCTTCATCAACAATTAAAGGAATTTTCCGAGAATGACACAACTTAGATATTTCTCTCAAGTTCTGATATAATAAACTAAACTGATTGTGCTTTCAACCTGCAAATTTTTTATTAAAAGTAATTCTTAGATCTATATTTACAAATTTCAGGGAGAATATGATCATGGAAAAGACAAATATGATGCGGTATGTTTATTTGACACGAAAACGATATTACTGTCACAATTCTCTGATGTACTGTATGTGAAATTTGTGCGATATAGTAACAAGGAGTTTGTGGTTTTCATCATGTAAACGGGGTCATAATGAGATGCAAGAGTGAGTGGGCAGAATTTCAAACTCGCCTCATCAATTCTGATAAAGGGTATCTTACAGGATTTAGAGGAAGTATGACGAGTTAACATATACTGTTTCCAATTCTGATGTACGTGCATTACTTATATTGATAGACTGCATATAAGTATATTTATCATAGGAAAAAAAGTTACATCTTATATGTATGGCTAATTATCATAAACTACTTGACTTCTGCACCCAATTTTGAACCAAAGCATGCTCACAATAAAGGATTTTGGAGAAGTAGTCTGCATGTGATTCAATATTTGAATGGTTTTGTATCTAAATAGTGCAAGAGTTTCAATCTGCTTTCAGTCATCCACAGTTAGAGTCAATGTAATGAAGAAATTACAAATAGTTAGAGTCGTTGGTGATGGATTTATTGTCGGTGTTCGATCACGGTGGCTGCCGGTGATTATTCTGAGACAAGTTAGTTTTCAACTTTTTTTCCAATTTGCTCTGTTAGTATGATTATGAACTTCGATCGTTTTTCGGGACTACCTGATAACGGAACATTCACTATCGGCTTCACTCCATCAGACACTGATAATCGATTATTCACGTTAGGCATTTGGTTTGCTAGCCTTCCAGGAGATCGAACTTTCGTTTGGTCACCCAATAGGTACATCTGCTATTAACTAATATCACTACTTTCGTATCTTATCCTAGATTTTTCAATAACTGACGTATCTGATACCTGTATCGTGTCCATGTTTCGTTGTTGCACTATCATACTCTCTCAATGAACTGATTAATTTTCTTTTTCAATCCAAACAGAAACTCACCTACATCTCAAGAAGCAATTTTGGAGCTTGACACAACAGGAAACCTCGTCCTCGTCGACAAAAAAGTCACCATATGGGCCTCAAACACATCAAATGCTAATGTAGAATCAGCAACCATGTCAGAATCTGGTAACTTCATCCTTCACAGCACAAACAACCACCCTATATGGCAGAGTTTTTCTCAACCTTCAAACACACTTCTCCCAAACCAGCCTCTAACAGTTTCTTCAGAATTAACATCATCAAAATCCTCATCTCATGGTGGCTACTATGCTCTCAAAATGCTTCAGCAACCAACTTCTTTAAGTCTTGCACTAACTTACAATCTTCCAGAAAGTTACCAAACTTTTGATGAAAATGAATCATATGCAAACTATTCTTATTGGCAAGGTCCTGATATTTCCAATGTAACCGGAGAAGTTATCGCGGTTTTAGATCAAGCCGGAAGCTTTGGAATTGTATATGGAAATTCATCTGATGGTGCAGTTTATGTTTATAAGAATGATAATGATGATGCAGGTTTAGCTTCTGCAATTCATCAATCTACACCGTTAACCGTTCTTAGGAGACTGACACTCGAAGAGAATGGAAATCTGAGGTTATACCGATGGGAAGACGTAAATGGATTGAAACAATGGGTGTCACAGTGGGCTGCAGTTTCAAATCCATGTGATATTGGTGGAATTTGTGGTAATGGAGTATGTAAATTGGATAAAACTAAGACTAATGCTTCTTGCACTTGTTTACCAGGAACTTCTAAACTAGGAAGAGATGGACAATGTTATGAGAATTCATCTCTGGTTGGAAAATGTACTAATGGAAAAAACGAAAACAAGACATCGAGTTTTAGAATTTCGACAGTGCAACAAACTAATTATTATTTTTCTGAATCTTCAATAATAGCTAATTATAGTGAGAGTGATGTTTCTTCTGTATCAAAATGCGGCGATGCATGTTTGTCCGATTGTGATTGTGTTGCTTCTGTTTATGGACTAAATGAAGAAAGACCTTTTTGTTGGGTGTTGAGGAGTTTAAGTTTCGGCGGTTTTGAAGATACGAGCTCTACTTTGTTTGTGAAGGTTCGAGCAAATAGTTCATGGACACCAGAAGGACAAGAGGGAAGGTCTAATAACAGTTCTTCTGATGGAATGGGGAGTGCTAAGGAAAAGGCTGTGATTATTCCAATTGTTCTAGGCATGATAGTTCTCATTATTTTACTCACTATGTTACTGTATTACAGTGTTCATAGAAAAAGAACTTTGAAAAGAGAGATGGAATGTTCATTGGTCTTATCAGGTGCTCCAGTGAATTTTACTTACCGCGCTTTGCAGATCAGGACAAGTAACTTTTCGCAGCTTCTAGGAACAGGTATGTGTGTCCTATAATGAATTGAATCTTACCGCGCTTTGATTTTAATATAATTTGTTGCTAACTGTTTATATTTTGTAGGTGGATTTGGAAGTGTGTATAAAGGAAGCTTAGGAGATGGTACCTTAGTCGCGGTGAAGAAACTTGATAAGATTTTGCCTCATGGAGAGAAAGAATTTATCACCGAAGTAAACACGATTGGCTCAATGCATCATATGAATTTGGTTCGTTTATGTGGTTTTTGTTCTGAGGGACCTCAGAGGTGTGTACTATTTTATTTACAATTTCATCGTAAGAATTCAAATTTCATCGCTTTAGTTGGCTTAAGCAATGTTTGTTTTGCAGGCTTTTAGTTTATGAGTTCATGAAGAATGGTTCATTGGATCAGTGGATCTTCCCTTCGATTCGAGGACCAGATAGATTGCTCGATTGGCAAACTCGTTTTGATATAGCCAAAAATACTGCACAAGGGATTGCATACTTTCATGAGCAGTGTAGAAACAAGATAATACATTGTGACATCAAGCCAGAAAATATATTGTTAGATGAAAACTTTTGTCCCAAGGTATCTGATTTTGGACTTGCTAAATTGATGGCAAGGGAACATTCTCATGTGGTAACAATGGTAAGAGGCACTAGAGGCTATTTGGCACCAGAATGGGTTAGTAATCGACCGATAACCGTAAAAGCAGATGTTTACAGCTATGGAATGCTTCTTTTCTTATTTTTTTGGTGTTTTGTTTAGAGAATTTGATTGTATGTTTTTGGATTTGGATTGAAGTACTCATAGATGGGCATCTACAAATTTGGCTATGCAAACGCCCTCTTAATATTCTATATGTTATGATATTTGGAAACAATAGGATTTGGTAATTTAAAATGTTATTTGGTATTTGATGGATCATAATATATATGCAATGAGTAACTTAAAGCGTTATTTGTGTTGAATTGAATATAGTTATTTTATATTTACACCAAAAAAAATGATTGTGTAAGAAAAAATATTGTACTGTACTTATTAAAAATATTGTACCAAATATGTACCATTTATTAGCACTTTATTTGAAAGCGCTATCAAACATATGTTATATATTAGCGCTTTTTGTTTAGAGTGCTATAAAAAAACAAACAAAAAACATGCAAAATACTGACTTTGATAGCACTTTAATTAAAACGCTATTATAAATTGGTACTTTAATAGCGCTTTTAAAGTGCTATTAAATAAGAAATATTTACAATAGTGGCGCGGTTAATAGCACTTTTAAGCGCTATCAAAAACAAAAAAAAGCGCTATTAAATAGCTTATTTGGCGTAGTGTGCATTTGTTTGGGTTCAATCTCAGCTTGTATAACTTCAACCTGTCAAACAGCTTCTGTAGATGGTCAAGGTGTTCCTCCTTAGTTTGGGACCTTGCAATCATATCATCGACATATACTTCAATCTCATGATGGATCATGTCATGAAATAAAGCAACCATGGCACGCTGATATGTTGCCCCGGCATTCTTCAACCCAAAAGGCATGACCTTGTAACAAAAGGTGCCCCACTAGGTAACGAAAGTGGTCTTTTTCATGTCTTCAGGAGCCATCTTGATTTGATTATAACCGGAGAAACCATCCATAAAGGAGAATACCTTGTGCTGAGCAGTATTGTCAACCAGAACGTCTATGTGAGGTAGAGGGAAGTCATCCTTAGGGCTTGCCCTGTTCATATCCCTGTAGTCAACACACATTCGGACCTTACCATCCTTTTTCAGTACCAGAACCACATTGGCAACCCACTGAGGGTAAGAAGTTACTGCTAGAAAACTGGCGTCAAACTGTTTCATAACTTCGGCCTTGATTTTCTCAGACATCTCTGGACGCATACAGCGAACCTTTTGTTTTACCGGAGGACAGTCTTCCTTGGTAGGCAGGCGATGAACCACAATGTCGGTATCCAACCCAGGCATATCTTTGTAAGACCAGGCAAAGATCTCCACGTAGTCATGCAGCATCTGAATCAACCGCTGTTTCACATTAAGCTCCATATTTGCACCGATCTTGACTTCCTTCTTGTCTGTCTCGGTACCCAGATTCACCATTTCCACTGGCTCTTCATGTGGATGAATGGCCCTCTCTTTCTGAAGTAGCAGTCTTGCAAGCTCACCAGGCA